CTAAAGAGGTTTAGGTTTATTAAGTTCTTCAGACTGATGCAAAAATTTGCTTAGTCCTGCAAGGGCTGTGCCTATAATTTATAATATAGCACTTAGAATGTTTATAATGAATAGCTACTGTGCGCATCTCAGAAATGGCAATCCAATGAATACATACGTTATATCTGAAGACAATTGAAAAGTTTGCTAAGATGTGCAAATATGCACGAACGACTTTGGCATCTCTGAATAATGAGAGTCTGTGTGAGAACGTGTACAGCAGTGGTCGCTGACCTTTTTACATACAAGATCACTTTTTGAAGTTAAGTGCAACCCAGGATCTACCCTGCCCGGTCCCTGAGGCACTGCCCCATTCACTCCATCCCTCTCCTCTCTCTGTCACTTGCTCTCCTCCACACTCACTCTCTTTCACTGGACCGGGGCAGAGGAGTGGGGTTCCGGAGGGGGTGCAGGCTCTGAACTGGGGCCGAGGGGTTTGGAGTGTGGGAGGGGGCTCTGGGCTGAGCATGAAGCTGGGGGTTGTGGTGCAGGAGTGGGTGAGGGGTGCAATCTGGGAGGGAGTTTGGGTACAGGAGGGGGCTCAGGGCTGGGGCAGAGTGTTAGGGTGCAGGATGGGGTATGGGGTGCTGGTTCCGGGAGGGGGCTCAGGGCTGGGGTGTGGGGTCCCACCAGGCGGCACTTATCTGGGCCAGCTCCCGAGCGGCTGTGCAGCGGGGCTAAGGCAGGCTCCCTACTTGCCCCGGCCCCACACCACTCCTGGAAGGGGTCAACGTGTCCCTGCAGCCCTGGGGGGGAGGGGCACATGGCTCCACATACTGCCCCTCTCTGCAGCTCCCATTGGTCGCAGTTCTCCATTCCAGGGTGATGCTTGCAGGCAGGAGCAGTGTGCAGAGACCTCTGCGCTCCCCCTCCCCCGCAGGGCCGTGGGGGCATGCTGGACGTTTCCGGGAGCAGCATGGAGCCAGGCAGGCAGGGAGCCTGCCTTAGTGGCAGCCCTGCTGCACCGCCAGACTTTTAGCGGCTGGAGGTCATGATCGATTGGGAGAGTCTCCAGAATCAACCAAACAATTGAGATGGATTGGTCTGTAACCACTGGTGGACACCGTTGGTGTAGTCAGAAGCGCAAAAGATTCAACACTGATCATGGCCCAGAGGTTCAGATGTAAAGCTAAATTACAGGCAAGCCTCTTGAGATGGTCAAAACTGGGCTGGGAGTCTGCTTCTGGTCTGATTAGAAATGGGGCATGTGGCATTATCATTCTTCAGAGAGACATTGTTATAATATGTTTATGGCATAACTATGATGTATTTTATACACGACAGGTCGTGTGAGGTGTCACTGAAAAGATCATGATTTACTGAATATGAGTCTCCTATTTGTATGCATGTATCATTTTTGTATCTGAAGTTAGGAATCTTGTCTATACACCTATTACAAAGGTGTTTACACCTGGGGACTGCCGACTAGACAGAATGCAATCAGTTTACATGGCTGGTTGGGAAGGGCCATTAGGGAGAACAATAGGTCTTAGAACATGCTAATCTCCCACCTGGGAGCCTTCCTGAGATGCCTTCCTAAGAACGTTACAAACAGCCTGTGTCTCATGGCTGCTATGGCCTTACAGAGGCGTGTGACCAAGTCATCTGGTAGTACTGGACTCCATGATAATACTAGTATTTTTCCACTGACCAGGTGTGGGAACCAAACTTGGAGACAAAGGATTCCCCCCATATACAAAAACTATTTAAGGCAGGGGAGTGACATCATCGTGGTTTTTTTCTTCACTGACTCCCTGCCCAAGAAAGAAAACTGCTGGAAACATCTGAGAAACAAAAAGACTGAACTAGGGGAGAAGGGCTGAACCCAGGCTAGAGTGTTGTCTAGCCTGTGAAAGGAATAACTGGTATTTTAAGCTGCAAGCAAGTGCAGCTTGCCTTCAAGAATCTCTGCAATCTGACTAAACCAACATTTAGGGTGAGAATGTGTTACACATATCAAATTTCTTTAGTATATTAAGCTTAGATTGCGTGTTTGTTTTATTAGCTAGGTAATCTGCTTTGATCTGTTTGCTATCCCTTATAATAATTTAAAATCTATCTTTTGTGGTTAATAAACTTGTTTTTGTTTTGTCTAAAATCAGTATGTGTGGCAATCATAACTGATGGCAGAAAGCTGTGTATATTCCTCTCCAAATTAAGGGAGGGGGCGAATTTCATGAGTTTACACTGTACAGATCTCTGTGCAGCACAAGACAGTATAATTTTGGGTTTACACTCCAGAGGGGTGTGTGCACTTGAGTAACTGGGCAGTTCTGTATCTGAGCCTTCCCATGCACAGCTGATCTCAGCATCTGTGTTTATTGCTGCAGCTGGGTGTGTACCTACCTGTTTTTGTGCTGGTAAAGTGCAGTCTGAAGCCTGGGGAAGGGTTTGACAGGCTGCATAGCAGTACAGTGTAAAGGGAACATAGGCTGGTGGGTCAGGCGGGCTCAGTGGTACCCCGGTCCCAAGTGGCACCCTGGGGCAGGGAAACCCATCACAGGGCATTCTGGGGTGTTTTGGACCTTCCATTTCTGGTTCCAGATGGAATTAGGAAATACCTTGCTCTCAGAGGCAATAAATACATAAATAAATACATAAATTAATAAATAGAAACCAACCAACAACCCAAAAAACAACAAAAATCAACAAACCAAATAAAAAACAAATACCCCACAACCTCTGTTTCAAAGTTACTTGAATGTGAAACACCATAAAAGATTTGCTTTGAGTTTTCAGGTCAAGGTACAGATAAATTTTCATTTTATCCAGATGGATTTGCTTAGCTGTAGCGTTTGTAAAACCTGGCTTTTCCTACCAAGAATTTCAGAGGAAGTATTTGGGTGACATTTCTTTTCATAGTCACTTTTTCCATTGCTCACGTTATCCACTGTTTGCTTCATCTACCTTGTCCATTTTCTAATTTGACATGGAATACATAGCAATTTAAACAAGCACAGGGCAACACGGTGAGGTGTTACAGGTTAAACGCTGCAGGCAATAGTAATTTTCAGGTTCAGTAATTCAATCATTTTCAAGATATCTCCAGAAGTCACTTTCTTAGAATGGTCACCCAAAGGCAATCTTAAATAGCTTCATCTGCATCTGTGACTAACACAAGCTCTACTGGCATTGCTGAAATAGTATGATTTGTGAATACCTACATTCACCCTGTGGACAAACAGCTAAATATCCCATGATAGCATCCAGATATGAGCTCAATACTTCTGATAGACTATCTGCAGCCCTGTTTACAGCTTTAAAAGATTCGGCCAACATATTCAAACTTACGTGTCTCAAGTTAGGCTATGAAACCCACATTTGGGCATCCACGTAAAAGTGGTCTGTGTTTCAGGGAAGAAGAGCACCCTAAAAATTCTATCAGCACCAATAGGAGCTGCAGCTGATCAGCATTTCTAAAGACTTTCATTCAGGTGTCCAGGTATGGACTGAAAATGCCCAAGTTCAAAAGTGGCTGCAGGGAATTCCAAAGGGATGACCACAAAGGGTGCGTGAAGGATTTCACGCTGACAGGGCAGGAAATTAAATTTATTCTGTTTTGAGCTAAGAGGAGCAATTGTGTGCTGCACCTGTTGGAGGTGGAAGTGGGGCTATAGTTGCTTTAAGCCATCTTTATACCTTTCTGATACTGGCTGTTCTGGGCACCAGTGTGGCCCCAGAACAACTCAGTCCATTTATGGATGTCTATGGGCAGCAGCACTACCCAGAATCTCAGCAGTGCTATGCGCTGTGGCCTGCCCCACTCAACTCCAACAAGCACTTTCTACCCCAACCCTATCTCCTAGCATGCCCTCTCTACCTAGGGTTGAGAAACATCCTGTGCAAGACCTCTACAATATCCTTCCACGGTGCCTTCATTGGGGGAATTGCTAAGGGTATTTCCCAGTCCCTTTACACTGCCACAGCACTGTACAGGGGATGGGCTGTGGGGAGAGAATCCTTGCCAATATCTCCATGTGTTGTGTAACATTGTCCAATGCATAGCCACTAGATCAGATAAGCAATGAATAATGCATGCTGCCAGCTTTCATAATGGAGCAGCATGATGTTATTCAGCACAGGTAGAGCTCTGATTGATGCTCACTTTGTTTGCTTTTGTGATAACCTGGAAATATTTATGAGAGAAAATCATCAGTGTAGTGAGTGGGGCTTCCGCTGAGCAACTTCCATTAACAGTTACCAGTCACCTGGCTAAATTCCTTCATCATACATTGAAGAGGCACACCCTGGTGTTCAATGGCACTCAACCCCAAACTGTCATCTGGGTGATGTGTTAGTATTGGGCTAGCACATCTTGCTGTGTACTATAGACCATATCTAGTAATAGAGAAGGAGATCTGCACATATTTGCTTAGGTGTATTTCTTTGTACATTTATTATATCAGGAGTGGATATGACAAGGGCTGTGCTGTATGCTCACATCATAATCAAACAAGGTTTACAAGTAAGGGAAAGATTGTGGACCTGCCTTTATGACACAGAGCAGAGTGCAAGACTAATGGAGTTAAACTGAAGCAGAGGGAGAAATAATCTGCTACCGGATACATCAACAACAGATTATTTCTCCACTTAGAGCAAGAGCAAGGAAATGAGATTCTATGGGTTAAATCCTAGCTCCATTGACATCAACAGCATAAGAATATAAGAATGGCCGTACTGGGTCAGACCTATGGTCCATCTAGCCCACTATTCTGACTTCTGTCAGTGGCCAGCGTCAGATGCTTCAGTGGGAAAGAACAGGACAGGCCAATTTCAAATGATCCATCCCTCATCGTCCAGTTCCAGTGTCTGGGCGTTGGAGTTTCAGCCCTGGTCTACACTAGGACTTTAGGTCGAATTTAGCAGCATTAAATCGATGTAAACCTGCACCCGTCCACACGATGAAGCCCTTTATTTCGACTTAAAGGGCTCTTAAAATCGATTTCCTTACTCCACCCCTGACAAGTGGATTAGCGCTTACATCGGCCTTGCCGGCTCGAATTTGGGGTACTGTGGACACAATTCGACGGTATTGGCCTCCGGGAGCTATCCCAGAGTGCTCCATTGTGACCGCTCTGGACAGCACTCTCAACTCAGATGCACTGGCCAGGTAGACAGGAAAAGAACCGCGAACTTTTGAATCTCATTTCCTGTTTGGCCAGCGTGGCAAGCTGCAGGTGACCATGCAGAGCTCATCAGCAGAGGTGACCATGATGGAGTCCCAGAATCACAAAAGAGCTCCAGCATGGACTGAACGGGAGGTACGGGATCTGATCGCTGTATGGGGAGAGGAATCCGTGCTATCAGAACTCCGTTCCAGTTTTCGAAATGCCAAAACCTTTGTCAAAATCTCCCAGGGCATGAAGGACAGAGGCCATAACAGGGACCCGAAGCAGTGCCGCGTGAAACTGAAGGAGCTGAGGCAAGCCTACCAGAAAACCAGAGAGGCGAACGGCCGCTCCGGGTCAGAGCCCCAAACATGCCACTTCTATGATGAGCTACATGCCATTTTAGGGGGTTCAGCCACCACTACCCCAGCCGTGTTGTTTGACCCCTTCAATGGAGATGGAGGCAATACGGAAGCAGGTTTTGGGGACGAAGAAGATGATGATGATGAGGAGGTTCTAGATAGCTCACAGCAAGCAAGCAGAGAAACCGGTTTTCCCGACAGCCAGGAACTGTTTCTCACCCTGGACCTGGAGCCAGTACCCCCCGAACCCACCCAAGGCTGCCTCCTGGACCCGGCAGGCGGAGAAGGGACCTCCGGTGAGTGTACCTTTTAAAAAACTATACATGGTTTAAAAGCAAGCATGTGAAAGGATTACTTTGCCCTGGCATTCGCGGTTCTCCTGGATGTACTCCCAAAGCCTTTGCAAAAGGTTTCTGGGGAGGGCAGCCTTATTGCGTCCTTCATGGTAGGACACTTTACCACTCCAGGCCAGTAACACGTACTCGGGAATCATTGTTCAACAAAGCATTGCAGTGTATGTTTGCTGGCATTCAAACAACATCCGTTCTTTATCTCTCTGTGTTATCTTCAGGAGAGTGAGATATAATTCATGGTCACCTGGTTGAAATAGAGTGCTTTTCTTCAGGGGACACTCAGAGGAGCCCATTCCTGCTGGGCTGTTTGCCTGTGGCTAAACAGAAATGTTCCCTGCTGTTAGCCACAGGGAGGGGGGAAGGTTGAGGGGGTAGCCATGCGGTGGGGGGAGGCAAAATGCGACCTTGTAACGAAAGCACATGTGCTATGTATGTAATGTTAACAGCAAGGTTTACCCTGAAAGAGTGTAGCCACTGTTTTATAAAATGTGTCTTTTTAAATACCGCTGTCCCTTTTTTTTTCTCCACCAGCTGCATGTGTTTCAATGATCACAGGATCTTCTCCTTCCCAGAGGCTAGTGAAGCTTAGAAAGAAAAAAAAACGCACTCGCGATGAAATGTTCTCCGAACTCATGCTGTCCTTCCACACTGACAGAGCACAGACGAATGCGTGGAGGCAAATAATGTCAGAGTGCAGGAAAGCACAAAATGACCGGGAGGAGAGGTGGTGAGCTGAAGAGAGTAAGTGGCGGGCTGAAGACAGGGCTGAAGCTCAAATGTGGCGGCAGCATGATGAGAGGAGGCAGGATTCAATGCTGAGGCTGCTGGAGGACCAAACCAGTATGCTCCAGTGTATGGTTGAGCTGCAGCAAAGGCAGCTGGAGCACAGACTGCCACTACAGCCCCTGTGTAACCAACCGCCCTCCTCCCCAAGTTCCATAGCCTCCACACCCAGACGCCCAAGAATGCGGTGGGGGGGCCTCCGGCCAACCAGCCACTCCACCACAGAGGATTGCCCAAAAAAAAGAAGGTTGTCATTCAATAAATTTTAAAGTTGTAAACTTTTAAAGTGCTGTGTGGCATTTTCCTTCCCTCCTCCACCACCCCTCCTGGGCTACCTTGGTAGTCATCCCCCTATTTGTGTGATGAATGAATAAAGAATGCATGAATGTGAAGCAACAATGACTTTATTGCCTCTGCAAGCGGTGATCGAAGGGAGGAGGGGAGGGTGGTTAGCTTACAGGGAAGTAGAGTGAACCAAGGGGCGGGGGGTTTCATCAAGGAGTAACAAACAGAACTTTCACACCGTAGCCTGGGCAGTCATGAAACTGGTTTTCAAAGCTTCTCTGATGCGTACCGCGCCCTCCTGTGCTCTTCTAACTGCCCTGGTGTCTGGCTGCGCGTAACCAGCAGCCAGACGATTTGCCTCAACCTCCCACCCCGCCATAAATGTCTCCCCCTTACTCTCACAGATATTGTGGAGCACACAGCAAGCAGTAATAACAGTGGGAATATTGGTTTCGCTGAGGTCTAAGCGAGTCAGTAAATCGCGCCAGCGCGCCTTTAAACGTCCAAATGCACATTCTACCACCATTCTGCACTTGCTCAGCCTGTAGTTGAACAGCTCCTGACTACTGTCCAGGCTGCCTGTGTATGGCTTCATGAGCCATGGCATTAAGGAGTAGGCTGGGTCCCCAAGGATACATATAGGCATTTCAACATCTCCAACAGTTATTTTCTGGTCTGGGAATAAAGTCCCTTCCTGCAGCTTTTGAAACAGACCAGAGTTCCTGAAGATGCGAGTGTCATGTACCTTTCCCGGCCATCCCACGTTGATGTTGGTGAAACGTCCCTTGTGATCCACCAGAGCTTGCAGCACTATTGAAAAGTACCCCTTGCGGTTTATGTACTCGGTGGCTTGGTGCTCCGGTGCCAAAATAGGATATGGGTTCCGTCTGTGGCCCCACCACAGTTAGGGAATCCCATTGCAGCAAAGCCATCCACTATGACCTGCACATTTCCCAGGGTCACTACCCTTGATATCAGCAGATCTTTGATTGCGTGGGCTACTTGCATCACAGCAGCCCCAACAGTAGAATTGCCCACTCCAAATTGATTCCCAACTGACCGGTAGCTGTCTGGCATTGCAAGCTTCCACAGGGCCATCGCCACTTGCTTCTCAACTGTGAGGGCTGCTCTCATCTTGGTATTCATGCGCCTCAGGGCAGGGGAAAGCAAGTCACAAAGTTCCATGAAAGTGCCCTTATGCATGCGAAAGTTTCGCAGCCACTGGGAATCGTCCCAGACCTGCAACACTATGCGGTCCCACCAGTCTGTGTTTGTTTCCCGAGCCCAAAATTGGCATTCCACAGCATGAACCTGCCCCATTAGCACCATGATGCATGCATTGGCAGGGCCCATGCTTTCAGAGAAATCTGTGTCCATATCCTGATCACTCACGTGACCACGCTGACGTTGCCTCCTCGCCCGGTATCGCTTTGCCAGGTTCTGGTGCTGCATATACTGCTGGATAATGCGTGTGGTGTTTAATGTGCTCCTAATTGCCAAAGTGAGCTGAGCGGCCTCCATGCTTGCCTTGGTATGGCGTCCGCACAGAAAAAAGGCGTGGAATGATTGTCCGCCGTTGCTTTGATGGAGGGAGGGGCGACTGACACAGCTTACAGGGTTGGCTTCAGGGAGCTAAAATCAACAAAGGGGGTGGCTTTACATCAAGGAGTATTTCAGGCAGGACTTCACGGAGGGTTCCAATAAGAAATGGTGCACCTAAGTTATTGTTCTTATTGGAACAAGGAGGTTAGCCTGGCCTCTGATTGACACATGGCTAGATTTACCTTGTTGCAACTTCTCTGTGAGTGACTGCATGGTGACCTAGAGGAATGAGTCCCCTAGACAGGGGAGGAGGCAAATGAGTACAAAACAAATCTGGTCTATTTCTTGTTTTGACCCACTCCATCTATCTTTTACATCTTTGGCTGGCAGCAGACGGTGCAGAAGGATTGCATGCCATCCACATCTCTTGCCTGCCCGGCAGAAGATGGTACAGTACGACTGCTAGCAATCCATATCGCCTGCCTGCTCACCATAAGACGGTTCAATAGGACTGACTGCAGGACTAAAGAGAATGACCTGGTCAAGTCACTCCAAAGTTAGTCTCTGCACCCATGTCTGCCCAGGCGCTCCCCGCCGATGTGGCCAGGAGCACCTCGGACATGACGATGACGGCTACCAGTCATATTGTACCGTCTGCTGCAACAAGGCAAGGGGTTGCTGCTACTGTGTAGCAATGCCGTACCGCGTCTGCCAGCACCCAGGAGACATAGGGTGACGGTTACCTGAGCGGGCTCCATGCTTGCCGTGGTATGGTGTCTGCACAGGTAACTCAGGAAAAAAGGTGCGAAACGATTGTCTGCCCTTGCTTTCACGGAGGGAGGGAGGGAAGGGGGGCCTGACGATATGTACCCAGAACCACCCGCGACAATGTTTTAGCCCCATCAGGCATTGGGATCTCAACCCAGAATTCCAATGGGCAGCGGAGACTGCGGGAACTGTGGGATAGCTATCCACAGTGCAATGCTCCGGAAGTCGATTCTAGCCTCAGTAGTGTGGAAGCGCTCCGCCGAGTTAATTCACTTAATGCACTTAGAGCATTTTCTGTGGGGGGACACACACTCGAATATATAAAACCGATTTCTAAAAAACCGACTTCTATAAATTCGACCTTATTCCGTAGTGTAGACATACCCTTAGGGACATCCAGCGTATGGGGTTGCATCCTTGACCATCTTCGCTACTTGTCATTGATGACCCTATGACCCATCAATGACAAAACTCCCACTGATTTCACCCTATAAATCTTAATTCCCTCTCTGGTCTGCTCATGGGACAGCTCAGCTATATGTTGCCCCTTACTAAAACGGGGCTGAAAAATACAATCAAGCCCTACGTTTTGATCTTTCTTAAAGGGTAGGAGTACTCACTTTCTCTCCCTTTCTATGTTTGCACAGGTATTAGATTTGTGTACACTTTAGCAGCTAATTAAGATGTCAGATCACCCACTAAACATGGAGGTTTTATTTCAGCAAGTAGTATTTTCATACATTTCTAGATGAACGTTTGCATTTTTCATAATAACCAAAATATATTTTATTACATTTAAAGCTCTTTCATTGTCTTTACTTCCTGAATGCCCTCTCCTTAATTGAGATGCAGAAAGATTGCATGAAATCGTTACTAAACCTTCTAAGGAGAATACTACATATGTATTAAATGCATCTCTTTGTTACAAGAGGATAATAATAAAAAAAATCATCATAATACAAGTCACAACATGGTGATCTCCACTTACTGTAATTTCTTTGTAAAACTAAACAAAGTTAAATAAGTTGGCTTCTAGAAAGGCAAATGAAGCACCGAGCTCTAAACTGGTATGCACTGCTTCACCTAAACCCACCTGAGATCTGATATACTATTTATTTTCATAGATGAGTTGCGAAGTATCACTGAGTGATGTCGTGCACAATACTCCCTAATGATTCAAACAGACATTGGTAGGTTTCATCCTAATTATGTTAATCAGTTATACTGTTTACCTGATCAGATGACTCTGGGCATGATTTATACTGGCATGAAAACAAGAACTTTGGAAAAGTACAGCAATGAGCAAAAAGATGTAATCACAGGAAAACAAACTTTTCAGAACAGATTTTCTTTCTTCGTCTTGATATTTGTTCCCCAAAATAAAGGCTGTTTCTACTTGGAAGAGATGGGAACATGGATATGACCCTAAAGAACAAGGATGCCTCAGTGGATAGTCCCCGAAAATAAAGATTTATGGTCAGATCCTCAGCTGGTGTAAATCAGCAGAATTTCAGTGAGGTCTGACTGATTTCTCTTCGACCATGCTCATTCTATTTGGGGGGGGGGAGGGGGAAATATTTTCATAATTATGAACTCGGACCATTTTTTCCCCTTTATATATCTTATCTAGGCATGAAACCAATGAATGCTTCCTCTGAAGTTTCTGAGAATACAATGTGACTAAGGTGAGCATGAGTGGACCATGATAGACAACTTGTCCATGGTTATTATGTCATCCATATCTTTGTGCGTGCTATCTGTATTTTGACCCTTATTTTTAAAAAGCACCTCGATGCAGCCTCTGTTTTTGCACCTTCATTTTTGCACCCACAAGTAGTAGTGAGAGAACTATAAAATAAGCCCACAGAATTGCCAAGACATCATATTACCCAATTTGTGAGAAGAATTACCCCAGAGAGTGGTAGGTAGGTAGATATCTAAGTGTTGTGAGACATGCCGGCAATTATTTCTGGGCACAAAATCATATGCACTAATTTGGAGACAACTTTTCCAAATCAAGCCCTTTATATTTCATATTACTAATATTGTGCTAAATTATTTTTTGGATGCATATAGCTGTCACCCAATAGCATAAATAATTCAATTGTGGATACCACCTGACACTGCTTTAAAAACTGATTCATTCGATTCCAGTATTGATCACCCAGGGACTCTCACTAATGAGGAGGAATGGGGGAAACATAAGCCCTTGCTAGTAAACCCAAAACCTTTAAAGATTATTTTAGTACGTTACCAACTTCTTAGTGTAATTTAATTCAAGTACATGTAACTCTTAAAAATCTGATTTTCTTGATAACCAGAGCTGGTTTATATACTTGACATTGCTTGATACTGTTGATATTGTGCATAAGTCACCTATTAGTACCATCCTCTTAATATATATGAGATATTTCACTCACTCACTCGCTCAGTAAAAGCTTTTTGTTCTTTTATAAAGGCTACTTAATGTAAATTGTAGATATCAATGACTGGGGACATCTTTCTTCAGTCTGACCCACATCCTAAGCTGTTGCCAAGGAGCTCAGGATGGAGAAGATTGTAAAGGGTGGGTAAGCAGGCTGCTCTAATTTGCACTGGTAACTATCA